TGGAGATTTACCCAGCACGCCTGATTGAGCCTGGCCTGGCTGGGAAGATTACAAAGTTGAAATCACTTGAAATTCCTCTTGTTCATCCAAAGATACAGAAATAAAAGAAGCAAACTCCTGATCTTGCTGAGGTGAGATCTTTATTGTGAGCCATTCCTGCATCTTTTATTTTCTATTTGCCCAAAATTGATCCACCCAAGTACTATAAGAATCACATGCACGTGGATTTTCTTATCTCATGCCCCACACACATTACATCAAAAGAACAAATTTTTTTTTGTCTGTATGTATCTGTAGACCTTTGAGCTCTATAGAAGCTTTTAAGCAGATAGAGGAAATTTTTGTCACATTCATTTTTTTGAATGTACCATCATCATTCAGAGGGTCCATTCTTGGATCTGAGGCTTCAAGCCTAGGTGGAATGAGACAAAAGGCCAAACCAGTCTTTTAAGTGTCCTGAGCTAAACAATGCTGGCGACACACATGTACGTACATATGCACCCATGCACTCAATAAATCAATTGAAGTTATATCCAAATTCTACTTTCTTTCTCCTTTTCCTCTTCCCCAACCCCTTTCTTATCCTGATGAAAGCTCCCCGCCCCCCACCACCACCCTATTCTCAGCTACTTCATAAGGTGAGGATTTACAAAAATCATTCTAAACATTTCAGATATGTCTCCCTGAATATTTACTTGTCCTCTCATGGTTTGACCAGCAGTCACCATGATGAGTCATCCACTGGGCTTTAATCCATAGCGTCCTGAAATAACAGCCATACCAGGGCTATGACTTTACACTTTCCATTTTTTTTAAAACTCTCACTTCCCTCAAACTTGATTATCTTAAAGCTAATTTTATTCTATGCTTGGCCTTCAAGTTTGTGCTAATTTTCAAATCTTTTCCAAATGGCTCTCTTGAATTAATGCAGGAGGAAGTTATCAACTCTCACACATGTGGTTCTTTGTCAGTCAGGAAAATAGTCTCTTTCCCCATGAAAGGAGCGTTTCTGGAGACAGTGGGATGGAAGGAATCCTCTTTACAAAATAAGAGATAGGGGCGCCGTGGCCGGTTTGGCTCAGTGGATGGAGCGTTGGCCTGCGGACTGAAGGGTCCTGGGTTCGATTCCGGTCAGGGGCATGTACCTTGGTTGCAGGCACATCCCCAGTGGGGGGTGTGCAGGAGGCAGCTGATCGGTGTTTCTAACTCTCTATCTCTCTTCCTTCCTCTCTGTAAAAAAAATCAATAAAATATATATATTTTTAAAAAAGAATTAGGGGCAAAGAACTAAATTGGTGCATTTTAATCATATACACACATATAGGATATGGCTATATGTACATATTTATATATGTAGTTTATATGTATATAAAAATATTATTTCCCCAGAGATCCTATCCATATACAGATCTGAGGAAAAGAACTGATATCTAAAGATCAAATATCTCTTTTGGATTGTGGATGGTTAAAAACATATAGACTCCCAGGGTCACCATTTTCCCTGTGATAGGCCAGGCACCTACAGCCCTGGCCTAATGTCAAACCCTCATTCAGTCTGTCTCATCCACTTCAGGTAGGCATGATGCGACGTCTAACGTGCAGATCCATGCATGCTCGTCTTTATTATTATAGCTAAGTGCTCATTTCCCCCTTCCTTCATCTTTTTTTTCTGAGGAGTCTCCCCAAACGTCTTTGGAGGATCCTGTGAGTTTCTTGAAGAAATGGATACACAGCACAGTGCTGGAGGTGCACTCAACAGACCTGCCACTTACACATCTTCCTATTTCCTTCCAGTCAGTGGTTAGTACTTGTACCTTTTCTGGACTCTTTGCCACTTCAAATGTGCCTCTTATGCATAAACATTCCTTCACGTGCAACTCAGCAGAGCTTATGCCATGCTCCAAGGATCCCTGAAACTTCTGCCCTGCAACATCCAAATATAGAAGCAAAACCCTTGAAGAGGGGTCATGCTTTTTAGATTTAGCAAGTTTGTAATAGTTTTTATTTCCCATTAAGAAATTTTATGGTCATCTTTCCCCATTAAACAAAGAGCCCAAAATACTATATAAACTTAAGAACTTCACACCAATAAGCAGGACTTTATCAATCAGAAATCAGAAATACTGCTTGTAAGCAGAAGAAACAATTTAAATAGGAAAAGCTTGAATTAAATAAACCTCTATGCACTCACTAGGGACTATCGACCTACAACAAAATCACAAATGAAATAAAACCAAACAATAAACCTCAAGGGGGTAGCTGGTCCTCTAGGGATATTATTGCCTCACATTCTTCTTTTTCCTGTTTCTCTCTTGATTTCTATTGATTTGATACTCATCCAACCACTGAGGCACAACTAACTCCTCCCTCCTCCGGGAATAAGTGATTTCTGGTCCTCATTGAGCTCCTTCTTGTTTTTAAACATATTTTATTGATTTTTACAGAAAGGAAGGGAGAGGGATAGAGTTAGAACCATTGATGAGAGAAAAACATCAGCTGCCTCCTGCGCACCCCACATTGGGGATCAAGCCCACAATTAAGGTACATACCTTTGAATGGAATCGAACCCAGGACCCTTCAGTCTTTGGGCTGCTCTATCCACTAAGTCATACCGGTAAGGGTGAGCTCCTTCCTTTAATTCCATAACATTTAAACCCACGCCCAACTGCAACCTACTATTGATCTCTTATATGCATTCAACTTTGTTTTCATACTAAACAACAGGGCCTTACTTCCCTTGTATTGCCTTAATTTCTACCACAGAGTTTTCACATATTGACTTCATGCACCCACGTGGGAAAGGACACAAGGTAAGTCACCCATTCCATCTCATGCAATCTATGTGAGCTAGCTCTCTGACACATGGCTCATTTAAGAATACAAAAAACTTCAAATAGGTATATGAAATTTATTTGGACCCCCCCCCAATCCAAGGTCTTGCATCTTAATTGGTTGGTGTTATGAAATGATACTCCTACCTGAGAACTTTTGGACTCCCATTTGTACTAGTTCATAGGCCCAACTGCCAGTGAACTTTTCCATTAATGCCCTCGTTTACTGGTTGGCGCTTGTCCTACTCTTTCTCTCAAAGACATTAACACAGAGTGCTGCCGCTTTGTTGTGAAGCATGGAGGCTTTGCTGTGTATTGTTTTAGTATCACTGGCTTTCCCCCTGGGAACAGAGTGGGCCTCACCCTCTCCTCATGACTAAGTCCAGAGAATGTGTGGTGAAGTAGTTCTGTGACTTTTTAACCTGAGCAGTATTCCCCCCATCGTCCATGAATGCCTGGGTTAGTAACTGTATTGCAGCATTGCTGATTACAATAAATGTGTGCCCAACATTGGTGGACATTTTGAAGCACGAAGCATTACCGCACATCCCAGCTTCCTGAGTTTAGAAGTTAGGGGGGCCTAATCTTTTCCCCAAGCAGAATCTTCACATCTCTCCTGCTCTCTTCTTTGACGAGAATGGAAAACATTGACACTAACATTGTGCCCTTCAGGACATGTACAGTAGTCCCCCCCCTCATCCATAGGGAGTTATCCAAGACCTCCAGAAGATGCCTGAAATGCAGATAGTAGAGAACCCTGTTTTTTCTTAACAATAAAAGATGAACAATAACAAAGAAAAAAACAATTATAATATCCTGTAATAAACGTTAAGTGAATGTGATCTCTAATAACTGAGATGGCTAAGTGACTAACGGGTGGGTCAGTGTATACAGCGTGGCTACCCTGGACAAAGGAATGATTCGTGTCCAGGGTGGGATGGAGCAGACTGCATGAGATTTCATCACAGTACTCAGGACAGCACATAGCTTAAAACTTATAAACTGCTTATTTCTGGAATTTTCCATTTAATATTTTTGTACTGCAGTTGACCATGGATAACAAACCATGGAAAGTGAGACTGCAGAGAGTGGGACTACCGTAAGGGGGTTGTTTTTTTCAGTGCTAGGGATAGACTCCATGGATCCATTTTCCAACCCTCTGTGGCAACGGTGCAGTGACAGAGGTTCCTCTCAGGCCTCTAAGTGAAGAGCATATAGGCTCTGAAATCAGAAAGATCTGAGTTCAAACTTACTGCACCATTTGCTAGGTGGGTCATCTCAAACAAATTATATGTTTCTGTGAACCTGTTACCTCATCCACCAAATGGGAATAACACCACGTCCCTCATCATGGTTGTAAAAATGGTAATATACATAAAGCCCCTGGCATATTGCTTCAATATAGTAGATACTCAATAAATGTTAGGTACTATCTTTATTTTCCAAGAGTTTGAATTGAATAGAGTCCATGATTCTTAATTTCCTGTTATAGTCCTCTTAGTAGAGTCTTCCAGAACTAGAGTTAAAAATATATATATGTGCCCTGTGAGGCTGTTAAGTGTCAAATGTCTGTAGAGGTTACTTAGTGGGTAGGAAAGGTTAGAGCATTGAGGTGGAACAATGGTGCCCCTGCCCCATTCCCATACGGTCCCAGCATCACCCCCATACTCCCACCAACTAAACCTGTATTCCCATTTGTCTAGGTCTCCAACCTTACTCGATGAAAATGCCTGTGGTCTCAAAGGTTTTAAAAAACTTAAGAATGGGAAAGTGAGGCCTCAGAAAACTATAAATATTCCATTAGGAAAGAAAGGAAGAGAGAGGTGGGTAACTACTACTTTTGTTGTTGTTGATCTTCACCCAAGGACATGCTTAGAGAGAGGAAGGGAGGCAGAGACAAAGGGAAGGAAAGATAGAGAGAGAGAGAGAGAGAGAGAGAGAGAGAGAGAGAGAGAGAGAGAGAGAGAAAGAGGGAGAGAAGGAGAATGCAAAGAAACATCAATCAGTTGCCTTCTTTCTATATGTGCCCCAACCAGGGATTGAACCAGCAACCCAGGTATGTGCCCTGACCAGGAATCAAACCAGCAACCTTTTAGTGCACAGGATGACACTCAACCGAGCCACTCCAGCTGGACTAACTGCTATGTTTTCTTGTCATTAGCAATATACCGGCTTCCATGTGCTGAGATCCCAGTCTGATGAGAAGAAATGACACGAAGGTCATGGATGGACCTCACTGTCCACTGGGAAAGCTCTTGCAGCACCTTTAGGCCCCACAGCTTCTTCTCAAAGAGACCACCGTCTCCAACAATTTCAGGCATCTCCTCAGCCTCACTGGGGGGGATCTTGAGTTCCAGGAGCGCCATTAATTCCTCCAGCTGGTAAGCAAAGGCAGCAACTTGGAGTAGAAGGGTATGTATTGCTTGATGGAAGTCACTGTTAGCTGGAGTAAAATGCACCCGCTGGTCATCTAAAAGCCTGATCAACATACCATGGAAGGTACGATAAGCTTGGAGGTTCTCTAGGAGTCGCTCTGCCTCAGGCAGCTCACTCCACCGATCAGTGCTTGCCATTGGCACACCATCCACGGAATCCAGGTCCATGTTCTCATTCAGGCCCTGATGCTTCACCTGGCCAAGGATACAGAAAAACATCACATTCTCACTTAAATAATCCCCCTAAATCTCATATAAAATCTTATTCATCTCCCTGGTCATGGATCCAAATGATAAAGAAAATAAAATGTAGAACAGAAACTCTTGATTCAGGGTCCACGATTGGACTTTTGGGAGATACTTTTGTCCCTGAAATTATACAAATTGCTTTGACTACCTGTTTATTTTTCTTGGGAGAATGTGCCATTTTCCTTAGGTTCTCAAGGTTGAAAACCACTGGTCTGGATTAACTTGTCCTTCCCACTTCAAACTTCCTCCTGGCCATTTTAATCATACTGAAGTTTTTAAGCATTTTAAACATACTTGAAGACACTGGCCACAGTGAGGAAGCCCTAGAATGTAGCCATAGGATTTTTCTAATTATCTCTTCTCCATTGCCTACTCTCCATAGTGAAGACAATCCTTTAGAGCAGTGGTCACCAACCGGTGGTCCGCAAACCACTGGTGGTCCGTGAGATCCGAAAGGTTGGCAACCGCTGCTTTAGAGGATTCAGTGGAAATCAGTTGGGAAAACTGGTGGGGCTGTGCAGATATTCTCCACAGGGTCTGTAGTGTTTTCACAGCAGCTCTTAGAGAACCTCCTACTATCAGAAAAACAATCTGGAACCCTTGGTTAATGTTTTAAGAATATTAACACTTCCCAGAGAATCTTAAAGGAAATCCTCTTGATAGTGTAGGTGACCTTTCTGTTTAGACCCAGAAACACTTTTTTCCTTTTATATTTATTTTACAGAGGCAGGAATGGAAAGGAGAGACACATCAATGTGAGACACATCGACTGGTTGCCTCCTGTACATGCCCCGACTAGGGATCGACCCCGAAACCTAGGTATACCCTGATCGGGAATGGAACCCTCAACCTTCTGGTGCATGGGACAATGCGCCAACCAACCAAGCCAGGGCACTCCAGAAACACTTTTGATGTGTATAGTTAAAAAGTGGGTGGCTAATACTATATAGGAGAAATTGGTTGGGTTTATACTGCTCTTCTCCCAATCCTATAAACCTTACTCTGCCTTTCATTTACATAGTTCAAAAATTCAGAACCTATATGAAGAACCCAAACTTAAAGGGCTCATAGTTAATCTATTCTGATAGAATTCAGATTGTAGGCAATCAAATTAGAAACAGCTTCCAAGACATATAGCCAACCCTACCTAGCACCCATGGATATTTTCTTACACAGGAACATATCTCCTAAAAAACCTAGAGGAAGGAAATAAACTCATGTAAGTTTCCTTAAGGGAAGGGGCCATATCAAATGATATGTGCCCACTATACAACTGGCTGTATTAGGGCTTTCACAATTGGTAATGGTGCTGAAGCATGATGGTAAAGGGTTGGATCAGAATAGATGAAGTCAAAATAGACTACAGCAAAATAGGCAACTTACATAAGATTCCATAAGAGCTGTCAGGTCTGAACGAATCTTTCTTGCTAGCCAGATGGAGCGGCTACAGAGATCCCGACGGTGAGGGGTCAGCGGTGAGTGCTCTGCGAAAGCCATCCCCTAACTCAAATGTCCCAGGAAACAAGTGAGCTGAGTTTGTTTCTATCTACACTGTTCCAAATAAGAAATGTGACACTCAGACTAAATCCACTGGGCATTCTCTAAAGGAATGGTGTTCCCCACCCCCACCCCCTGCCTGACTCAGAGGTGGCAGCAAATTCCTGGCTGTGGATTTTTGTGCCTGTGGAATCAAAGGCCCCTTTTACTCAGCTTTTTGTTCCTGCAGCGTCTGCCTCCATCTCTCTCCTCCACTGAGTGCCTAGCCTACTTGTTTTTATGTCATTGTTTTGCTTTTGCACTTAGCAACAAGGTCACTATCACACTAATCCTCATGATACCTAATGCAATCTATTTTATATACACATATAATCAGGTCACTTTATTACCACTCTCCCTTGTGCTCCCCATGTCCTTTTCTTTTTCTTTTTGGCTTGGTAAAGTCTTCAATAATATTCATCATTATTATTGATGTGGCTGCTATTTAGTAAGAACCTATCCTGGGCCAGACACTGCTCTAAACTGTAAAGCCTTTGATCTTCAGAATGATTCTGAGATAAATATTATTTACCTCGTCTTACATACAAAAAACTTATGAACACAAAATACAATAACTTAGGCTCAAAATTTAAATGTAGGTCTTTGATTCTGTATCTGTTTCTCCCACTGACTTTTTAATTTCATTGTCTAGGTAGCTCACATTTTGTTCAAGAAAGTAAGTTTATGTGAAAAAGGTCCTTTAAAATAAATCCAGCTTTTTACTCCTATCCTTTTGCTGTGTATTTAATTTAATTTGATTAAAAATTAGCTAAGAAGGCATCTCTGATCTCAATCACAGTGCCTTCCTTATAGCTCCAGGATGAGGAAGATACTGTTTAGGCCTGTTCTTTTCCAAAGGACAGTAAACACCCAACCCTGACAGAGTAACATTACTAAGGCAGCCTCACTCAAGTGACAACACGTTTTTCTTTTTCTTCCTTATCGCAGTTATACCACATGTTTCTTAACTAAATAAGATGAGTTGGGCTTTGAAATGAGGGCAAAAGAGTTTCAAAGCAGCTGTAGAGTTGCTATTCTATTGCATTTAACTCAGTAGGTTAGAGGATGGTGCGAATTGGTAGAAGTTGCAAGTCTCAACTTCAAATGAATCAATTAGCTTTCACTACTTCCTATCATAGACATTGCCTCTAAATTGAAACATGCCTTCTCAAGGGCAAATGTCCATATGTGAACAAAAGAGGAAAACAAGAGAGAAAGAAATGAAGCATGGGTGGCTGTCACAGTAGTCTTTCACATAGGTAAAAGGATACGATTTTTTTTTTAAAGTTAGTACTTTGCCAACTGATCACATGGCATATCAGCATTAGAAATCAAGAACTAAACACAGTCAAAAGTTAACCCCCCGATTTTCCACAGAGCAAACACTATCTGCCACATAAAGCCTGCTCCGAGGGCACCTGGTTTTCTTATTTAGCAGTATCAATTGTTTCACTCTGGGACAACTGTAACTCAGTACAACCAAGGAAGACCAGTTGCTTCCATGAAGACAATTTTATTTTCTTCTTTACATATTTATTTTGGATATGTTTTACCTAGATTAAGAGAAAACAAGAATTTGAAAAGCAGATTATCCCTTTTATTATAATTTCTTTTTACATAACTTTTTCAACCTAGATTCAGGTAACTACCTGTCTCTCCCATAAAAGGAGAAGGGTCCTGCACATTACAATAGGCAAAAAGGCTTTAAGGAAATAAAAATATTTTAAATTGATCCATTACAATTTTTTAATCTTCTTGAGTACATTGGTAAGTGGGAAAAAGACAGGAGAGAAAAATGGAATTTCAAACAACCAGACTGTAATAACCTCAGATTTAATACACTCTTTTATATTTTTTTCTCCAAACAAGTACAAAGGAGGTTCAAGTGCTCTATGTGGATGCCTTTCCATACCTTAATATATATATATATTTTTTACTCCCAGTAATCCTGGCCAGTGTTTATCTAAACTTTCTGAAGCATATTAGGTCTCAATTATGCAAAATAATTCTGGGCAATCAAACAATGGGGAAGCACAGAAATAATGCTTGTATCTCAACTACATTTTCAGAATCTAGAATTGCCAATTCAAGATGGAGAATATGCAGTGGGGGGAAAAGATAACAGAATTGACTAGAAGTAGGAAATGCAGAATTTTAAGATTCAAAGAGCTCCTTGGAAGGACAAGTAAACAGCATGAGAAGCAGAAAAGAAAAAGGGAAGAGGGCCCAGTACATACACCAATTCTTTCCTATGCTAGCATCCTCATCTCAAAAGGAAAAAGATAAAGTCCATGAAAAATACTTAAAAGTTTATTGCAAACTGCTATAATAATTTATTGAAGCATATTATAGGCAAATGGTAGCTATGAAAAGGACAACAAAGGGAGAAAGAACAATAGTTTCAATTATTAGAACTCTGACAGGGAGAGGAGTGTGAGAACATATTTACCTCTATCTCATAAAGATTTTTTTTTAATGCAGTTTGCTTTCATGTACATGGCTAAAATATCTCATTACTAACTACCAAAGATGTAATTTATGGACACAAAGGGTAAAATAAATGTAACAAAGATAAAGGTAAATATGGGGAATGGATGTTAGCTAGTGAAACAGTACAAAACAGACTTCTACGGGGGAGGGTGGTAAGGTGAGAACAACTTTGTTGTAGACCCACCCAGTCAGTCATATATATTTTCATATCTAATCAACATACCAAAGTCAACTCCAAATCCTTACTGTGGGCAGGAAAGCACATTCTACATCCCTTCTATCCTTATTCCTTTCTACCCCCACACTGGAGGGATGGCAATGCTGCCACATGCTGAAGAGAATCAATAGTGCATTTAAGACTGTGCACTGTAGGTGTCTCACTCCCCACTCCCTGGTATCCCAGCCATGGAGACTCGTGGGTGTCAAGCAAGCCTCTTTCAGAGATGACATTTTGTTACCCTCTTCTTGGGGAAAAAAAATCAAAAGAGAAAATTGATAAACTTTGTAGTTTTAGTGTTTGTGAAAAACAAGCTGTTCCTTTTGTTCTCAGCAAAACTTCATTCTTTCCAACAGCCATCACACATTTCTGACAAACAATGCATAGGGCAAGCCTTGAATTCCAACTTCTGAGGTACACAGGACAGAAATTGCCCTTTTAATTCCCTAAAAATGAGCCCAAATAGGTTTTTGTCTTCTGGGTGTTACGAACTTATACACAGTAATAAGCAATCCATCCCATGAAAATCCCTATTTCAAGGGAAGTGGTAATTCCAAGGATTTCAGGTGGAAGCCAAACCTATTATTACATTAATTTTGTCTATTGAAGCCTTTTTTCTTCTCAAGTGTTACTAAATTTAGAAAACAAGAGCATTTTCTTTGACTTAAAATTGTACAGCTCCTAGACTATTCCTTCAATAATGGCAGTGTCCTTCACTAATCGGGAGCTGGAATGAACCAATGATAAAGCAAAGCAAAAACAAAAACAAAGCAAGGGGCCAGAGTTGGGCCAATAGGGAGGTATGTGTAAAGAAATGATGGGGACAAAATAAAAACAAAAACAAATTCACAAGAAAAAATCTCGTATCTGTAATTCAGACCCTGAACAACCTTCCTCATCCCCTCAAAATTCCTAAATCTCAATGTTTTAAAAACTCACAGAGCACTAATGACCACAAATATAACATTCTCCCCTAAAAAGGCTTCTGAGAAAGCACTAAGCTACTGTAGTGATTTTTTTAGTGCTGAGGACCAGCTTCAAGGCCACTGGAAAGCTATGATTTTTAGAGGCTGGCTGTGCTTCTTCAACCTTTTATCTTGCCTTCAAAAGTACCTCTTATGGAAAGGACCCCATGTCAGAATAATGTAATCTCTCCCAGCCCCACAAAATATAGCAACAAAGACAAAAAAAAGAAAAAAAAAATCAGACTTTCCGTTAATAAATAAAAAAATCTCAGGTTCCACAACACAAAAACACACATGTTCAAAGTGCAAATTTCTGCCATTAAACTGGGACTTTTCTGTCTCACTGATATGCAGCCCTGTCCTATGGTCAAAGGGACCATGTAAAGGGCAGTCCCCTCCCTGTTGGGAGCCTGCTTCCAAGCAAGTGAGCACCACTGAGAACCATATAAAGGTGTTGGGAGGAGGACTGAGGTGGTGGGGTCAAAGTGGTCCCCATGTATGTATCCTTCCTTTCTGAAACCAGGTGAGGAACGGAGGAAAAGGGGGTGAGAGATGTGTGCTGTTTTAACAGCTCACCCTGCTAAGGGGCCCTAAAGTGCCAAGTCAAGCTGCCAGCCTCCAGAGATTAGAATTATATGATACTTTGAGAGTAAGTGTGCTGCAGTGGGTAGAAGCCAGACCATAGGGCAGCAGTAAAGGAGGAGAAGGGAATTATAGGACAGTATATATTACTAAGAGTTAAAAGCTGATCCAGAACGTGTAAGATTTACAGGTTGGGAAAGGGAATCTGCTAATCAGCAGAAAGTTTGCCTGGTTGGAACCGAGCATGAGGATAACCCTCGCTTTAAGAGCTTTGTGTTTTTTGTCTACCTTTCTGGTAAAGGCAACATCAATTTTATCAAGGGGACAGGAGGAGGAGAGAGAGTAGATATATGTGTGTGTGCTGTGATCCACATTGGAAAGAGCAGGCCCTTCAGTTATTTTACTAGATCTTAAATGCTTTAAATTTTTTTTGTCCTTTTTATCTTTTAAATACAAAGTCTGAGCTGTCCCAGTGCCTAAAGTCTTCCCTTCTACTAAGGTCCAGTAGAGTCTGAATCTTCAATCAGAACCTCTGTGGTAGCACCGAGAATATCCGAGTTCATGACCAGCCCTTCAGTGCCCCCACTGCTGCCGCTTCCCACAAAGATTTTCCCATCAGCCATCAGGCTCACCCGTTCTGTCCCACTACAGTATGATTTTGACATCCCTTCGGCCTCTAGCAGGAGGCACTCTCCAGAGGTGGAGTTTCCCAAGGGCTCAGGAAGAAGAGGAAGACCCTGACCATCTGCAGGTTGTGTCAGAGACTCTGGGTTAGTGCCCAAGATATCCGTGCTGGTGATGAGGGCGCCTGCATTGGCAGCCAGAGCTTCGGCAATCAGCACCTCAGGGTGGCTTTTTGCTTTGTGTGCCACTACGCTGTCCTTCTTCTCAAATTTTTTGCCACAGATATTGCAAGAGAACTGGTAGAAGGAGTCTGCATCATGTTTCTTCATGTGCCAATTAAGAGATGCCTTTTGCCGACAAGTGAATCCACAGATCTCGCATCTAAGGAGAGGAAAAGAAAATGGTTTATCAGATAGAGAAATAAAGAGTTCTTATTCAAAGTCAGGTGTGATTTAGAGATCACATACATAAGCAATAGAGTAACATGTACTTCTTGTGAGAGACTAGAAAAAGTTACCAGATGGAAAGCTAATCTGACTTCTTCTGTTTGTTTAAACAACAAAAGAAAAAGTTCACTAAGTAGGCTCACCCAAACCATACCCACTCTAATTTGGTAAAAGTAAAGAATAGCAGAAGCTAAAGTGTTTATAAAGGGGCCAACCCTCAAGTGGGGTAAATAAATGTACTTCTCACCCAGATGTTTACCAATAAATAAACACTCACTGTAATGGCTTCTCGCCGGTATGGATCATCCGGTGCACTGCCAGATTGTGGGAACTCTTGAAGGCCCGAGCACAGTATTCACAGATATAATCCCTTTGATCTAGAAAGAAAAAACTGTGGTTAGTGTTCCATTCAGAAACCCTCTAAGTATTTTTTTTCCTAGTTTACAGTAAGTAAGCAGATGATTGGGCAGGTCAATTCAGAGTAAGAGCAACACTATCTTCAATGTATAAAAATTGGATAAACAAAATTTAGAATGAAATAAAAAAACCAATAGAAATATATGGGAACTAAAATCCTAATCTTAATTTTACCAGCAATCCAGATCTTGGATAAATTGCGTGGTAAGTAAACAACTACATTTTCATGGATTTTATTCTTTAAAAATAAAGATAAACAATTTATACTTCTCTCGAATTGCTGCTATCAAATATAAAGTACAGTACCTGTATTTACCTTCTTCTCCTACCCCACATCATCTGCACCATTCAACTACCACCCTCTGTCATTTCACAAGCCCTTCAAATTTCACAGGATTTTTGATGAATTTGATAACATGGTGTGGAATCTAAGTGGCAAAGGAGCATCATACTTAATTATTTCTTCATCACTTGATTCACAAGAGAGTGCACAAACAGATGCTTAATACCATTTGTTGAATGACCAGTACATTTTCTATGTCTTCACTTAAAATTACTACAAATAGAGTGACAACACAAAGATAAATTAAAAGGCAAAGAATAACAAAATTAATCCTATATTCCATCCCAAGCAGTTTTAAAATTAAGTAGGGAGAAGAGCCAAGTTTTTCTCAAGCTTGAATGTAC